GGTTTTACACGGGTTTTAGAGGTCTGAACTCAGGTCCACACACTTAGGTGGCAAGTGCCTTCCCCAGCCTTCCTCTCTCCTTCCTGACTGCCTATTCCAGCTATCACCCTTCGCCAGAGCGTCCCTCCCCAGTCACGGTGGTTCCACGTGATTATATCCAGCAGGTGATTCTGGGTCCTCAGGTACTTTGATAATTCTGGTAGCACTGAGTGCTCCTTTCTCCTTGATTCTAGAACATTCTGTTCTTTCTTGTTCCTCCCCTGACTCACTGCCACACCTCGAGTCCACACTCACTGATTCCTCCTTGGGAGCTACGGAACCCTAATCTCCAAACGTTGGTGTGGACATTGGGACTCAGCCCTGGGACCCCGTCCTCTTTTATCTTCACTCTCTGCACCTCAGTGATCTCACTAGGAAGGCTTCTGAGCACCACCCGTGGACCATGGACCAGCCACAGCTTATGTCTTAGACCTCGCTGAGCCTTGGACCCAGCTCTGCTGGGATGTCTCATCCACACTTCTCAACCAAATTCCAAATCTTCAGGCCCTGCAAGCCTCGTCCTTACATCCCCACTCTGGGAGATGTTGGCTGTCCCCTCGGTCCCTCGGGCCAGACACTGGAGGTGTGCTTTCTGTCATCACCTGTCTTAGTTGAGGTTACTGCTGCTATGATGTAACACCATGACCAAACACTAGCTGGGGAGGAAATGCTTCCACATCCATTGTCCATCACTGAAGGAAGTCAGGACAGGAACTCAGACAGGGCAGGAGCCTGGAGGCAGGAGCTGATGCAGAGGCCATGGAAGGGTGCTGCTTACTGGCTTGCTCCTCATGGCTTGCTCAGCCTGCTTGCTTATAGAACCCAGGACCACTAGCTAAGGGATGGCCCCATCTATAATGAGCTGGGCCCTCTCCCATCAATCACTAATTAAGAAAATGTCCTGCAGCTGGATGTTGTGGAGGCATTTTCTCAATTACCATTCCCTCCTTTCAGATGACCCCAGCTTGTGTCAAGTTGGCATAAAGCTAACCAGCAGGTCACCTAATCTGATTCCCTGGCAGGCCTTGCTTCAAGCGTACCCAGCTTTTCCTGTTTCAGCCTCTTCCGTCTCTTGTTGGTGGTTCTGCTGTTGCGTTCTCTTCAGCCTGCCTGGGTTTCTCTGGTAAGACTGCCGCTCATTAGTCCCCAAGTCACCAAGGTGCTAAGCAGAGGGCTGATTTGTCAATGGTTTAATGGGATGGCTCCAGCTGCTGCCAGGCAGAAGGCAGAAGACTCCTGGGACAGTCATCACACTGGGTGCAGGGCCTGTAAAGAAAGAGGAGGGAGGACATCACGGGAGCACCCTAAGCAGCTAAGTAGCAGGGCTATCAGGAGTGTCCAAGTCAGAGGTGCTTGCGGATCTCTGGAGCCGGATGACAGAAGCTCAAGTCCTAATCCTTTCTCCTTCCTGAAGGTGGAGAAGCATTTTTTTTTTCTCACTTAGCTGGCCTGGACCTCATTGTGCAGACCAGACTGGCCCAGCCTTTGTCTTCCAGGTTCGAGGCTTAAAGAGGTTTTACTACCACTCGCAGAGCAGCAAAGACCACCACAATCCTTGATAAGTTCCCACCCCACCCAGGGTCAAGATCACCAGCTCTGTTCTTAGCCTCCAAGCTGTCACTGCTTGTCCAAGAGGTCCTTCCTATACCAGCTCTCAGCTAGCCTTTTCCAATATAGTATCGTATCGTATAGTATAACATAACACAAGACAGTGTAACATAATACAACATAGAAAGAAATGACAGCCCCTTGGCCCCTCTCTGTCTCTCCAAAGTCTTCCTGACCAGCCCCAGCCTCCTTCCTTCCTTCCTTCCTTCCTTCCTTCCTTCCTTCCTTCCTTCCTTCCTTCCTTCCTTCCTCCCTTTCACAGTATTCTGCCTGCACACCAGAAGAGGGCACAGGATCTCATTATAGATGATTGTGAGACATCATGTATTGCTGGGAATTGAACTCAGGACCTCTGAAAGAGCAGCCAGTGCTCTTAACCTCTGAGCCATCTCTCCAGCCCCCGGCTCTTCTTCTTACGTGCTTATGGTTTCCCTGAAGCCCCCTCCTCATCCTGCACACGTCCAGTGCTGGTGCCCTGAAGTTGGCTCTGACCTTCCAGAGTATCTTCAGCTCTGAGGCCTGATGCAGAATAACAAACGTGGTGGTGGTGGTGGGGGGTCGGCAGCATTGGAGATCTCCCCTCGCTCTGCCCTCTGCCTCTGCCTAACTCAGTTTCCCCTCCAGGGCCTCACCTTTGTCCTTGCTGAAGTGACTTCTTTTTCTTTAAGATTTATTTATTGTTATGTGCATTGGTGTTTTGCATTCACGTATGTCTGCGAAAGAGTGTTGGATCCCCTGGAACTGGAGTTACAGTTACAGACAGTTGTGAGCGGCCATGTCATCTGGAAGAGTGGCCAGTGCTCTTAACCTCTGAGCCATCTCTCCCTGAAGTGACTTTTCTAATACCCAGATGTGGTATCAGAAAACCTTCCTCAGAAGTTGGTTTAGTGACCTCAAATGTACCCTGTCCCAGAATTAGAATGTTCTTTCTTCACTAAATACTGTTCCTTTCTGACCCCTATAACTTCAGAGCTAGCCTATGACCTTCACACCCAGCACTCCCAGAGGACCCGGTCCAGGCCCAGACAGCTGGCTTTGCACTGCCCTACGTCAACCTGGAGGCTTGCCTTGACTCTCCCACTAGGCTAATGAACATTTATAACTGCCCACTGGACAACAGGAGGTGAAAAGCCTGTCTGTAGGACCTGAGTCAGACAAGGGACCACTGTGAGCAGAGCCCAGCAGAGTCTACCTTGGAGACAATCTAATCCGGTGTAGCCCTGCAGCAGAGTGAGGCAGGCATCCTCTCCAGTTATTCTGCTTCCATTGCTGAGGAAGGCAAGAAAGACAGGGTTCAGAAGTGTCCTGCTGACAAGGCTCCACCCTGCATTTCACAGCCCACACAGCAGGTCATACCCTGCATGCAAATGAAGCCAGGAGGTCAGGACTGTCGAAGGTTCCGCTCTGCAGCAGCTAAGTGATGGCTTCCCTTGCCTTTTGCACAGACTCCAGGAAGGGGGTACCTTTCCCTGCCTCTGATAGTCTCTGGCTTCTCTGGGCCTGCACCTGCTCAGGGCAATCCATAAGAGTGGGGCCCTGAGGAACCACCTGTGGTCCCCAGCTCTGTCAGGTCTGAGAAGGGACCAAGGGGTCACAGTGTGACTGGGCAACGTGTCCTATCCTGTGAGCTGGGAGAAGGTGAGCTCTCTGGACAGGCAGAGCCTGACACAGGTCAGAACAGGCCTTGGAAGTTTCCTTCCCTTGGAAATAAGGCAGTTTGGAAAAATCCTTTCCCAGGCTCCACCCTGCATCTGGCTCAGAGACCCTGTGAACCGTCCCCAGGACAGCCACAACGCCCTGTGTCTGATGTCCTGAAGTGAGGGTCTCCCAAGCGCCAAATGGTTTATTACAGGGGTTTTCATGCGTGGCTACCTCTGGGCTCTTTCTCTCCCTCTCCCCTCCCCTCCCTCCCTCCTGCCTCTGAGCACCACCTGCCTCTTCAGCCTGCCTCACCAACCCCTGCTTGACTGTTGCCAGGGAAACCGCCTCCTTGGCAACAAGCCGGCATCCATATGACAAGTGCGCTGGGGAAGGGATGGCTTCTGCCTCTTTGCTTGGGCTGTTGCAAGCTCCATTCTAGAGTGCCGATACCCCCCAGCTGGGGTTGCAGAGAAGGGGAATGTTCCACCTTCCCTGGTGATCATCAAGCAACTGCCTATTAAGCACTGACTATTTGCCTAACTTTGTGCAAGGCTCCTTATGTGTGTGGCCTCATGCTCATTCACGTGTTGGGCCTGCAAGACAGATATCATCTCCATTTTGCAGATAGGGAAACTGAGGCACAGAGAAACAAAGAAGCTGCCTGTGGTCACAGATATCAGAGCCAAGAATCGAACCTGGTCTTGTCTGTCTTCAAAACTTGGTTCTTCTCACTGTCTTGGAATCTGTGGTTCGGCCTCTAAAGACTCTAAGTGAACTGCACCCCCTCACCCTATCTAGTAAGGGAGATGTTCCGTCACCAGTCCTCCCTGGGTGGCACTCTCATTGTGCCAAGTTCAGCAATGGAGTCGGGAGCCCGTAGACAAGCCAGGCATGGTCCCTGTTCCCTAGGGGTCCCCAGTCTACGGAAGGCTGTGGGTGTGTACTGCAGAACCACTGAGGCTGACTCCCAGCCTCCCATCCCCAGGTGAGGTTCTCTGGAGGTGTCATGGACTTTCAGGGCAGTGGTCAGAAAGGAGAGTGGAGCATTCATATCCAAAGGTGCCTGTTTAGGGAATGGTTGTCACTTAGATGGTCAGAGAAGGAAGGCTGGCTGAGGGGATAAAGGAAAAGCAACAGTCTGGGGAGGAGGCATACACTGGGTTCTGGATTTGGAGTCCAGATTCCTCCAGTAAGGCACAGAATTGATGGGAAAGGAATGAGGCCTCCTACTGGGTACCTCGGGTGTCCATGGGCCCAGGAGGGGTTGTGAGTAAGAGGAGATCTAGAAGGTGGACGAGATCCCCTCACAGGCAGAGTCTCTGAACCAGGGAGTGAGGGCAGAGTCAGCAGGGGCTCTGGGTGTCATGCAAGGGGGTCCGCTGGGGCCTCGGGGTCCCGAGGACCAACAGGGGCAGTAGGAAAGGCTATGTCCTTTCACCAGCCAGGCTCAAGTCTGGACAGAGCCCACTGCTGGGCTTTGCTGGCGGTCCTTGAGGGGTATGGGGAAGGACAGACAGTGCAGCCCTGTACAATCAACTCGGGGACTCAGGTGACACACACTTGAGTTTTAAGGTGTGGCAGGGAGACTGTTCCCAGCATGGGGGACAGCTGGAGGGTTCTGCCCTCCCTCCAGGCTTCCACGGCACCTCAGGTTGGCTTGGGGAACCTGGGGACCACCCTTCTATGCTGACCCGGTGCGCTATTTCCTGCAGCACCTACAGCGCCGAGAGACGGAGGTCTACGCCTGCCTGGAGGGACAGACTGGCAGCCCTGTCTCCAGCCAGAGCCCACCTTCCAAGGTACACCCTGGGGCTGGGACCTGCGCCAGCCTCCTCCCTCTTTCTGACCCTTGCCTCACGCATGTGGGCTACCTGCAGTTGAATGCCCCCTTTCCCACAAGCTGGCCTGATGGCTGGGGGCACTGGTAGCTTCAAACTCGGTCTGAGCTGTCTGCAGCGGGAAGGGGATACTTATCTCTCCGTGCTTGAGTCTCTTGGCTTATAGCCTGAGGGATTGGAGTCGCCCAGACCTGCTGTGACATCAGATCACTGCTGAGAGGGCCGTCTGACACCAAGCATGCGCTCACACGGGGGGGGGGGGGGGGGGGG